CGGTGCTCGCCAAACACGGAACACACTTCTTGCATGTTGTCTCAACCATCTCATTAATTCCAGGAAACCATACTTTCTGTCGAAGCAGTTGTTTCGTTTTGACAATCCCTTGGTGTCCTTCATGTGCTAAGTTCACAGCGTGCTGTTGTAACGATGCCGGTAGCACCAACCTAGAGTTGGGCATGAGAACACTGCCATCTGGTGTCGAAATAACTGACAACTCGTCTTTTATCGGCATGAATGCCTTGGCTTCTGCGTTTTTGAATGGTTCCTTCCATTTTCCAGATGTAATTTTCTGAACTACCTCTTGTAGTATTACGTTCCTTGCTGTTTCTGCTTCAATCTCTTGCACAGTCATTACCTTTGGGACTGCATGGCACATAAGAAAGTTCAAATATTTTTCCGCGACCTTATAGTGCTTATAGTTCCCTGCGAATGATGTAGGATGTCGGGACATGTAGTCCGCCGGGTTTTCTGTCCGTGGTCTGTACCCTACAGTGAAGTCGTATGGCTGTAGCCTCAATCTCCACCTTTCTATTCTAGCACACGGCTTGCTCTTCGGATTGTTGAAAATCACCTCTAGCGAGTTGTGATCAGTGACTAGGGTGTATGTTGGAGATCCACAGAGATAAAGATGGAAATGTTCACATCCCCATACTATCGCAAGAGCTTCCTTCTCCGTCTGTGAGTATCTTTTTTCAACATCTTGCAACGCTTTACTATCGTATTGGATCACCTTTCCCTCCTGTGTTAGAATTGCTCCCAGTCCTACCGGGCTGGCGTCCACAAGGAGTTTTGTATCCTTTGTAGTGTCAAAGTATGCCATGGCCTCTTCTGTAAGTTTCCGCATCACTTGTTCGAATGCGATTTTCTCAGCATGACCCCCCCCCCCATCTCCACTCTACCTCTTTTTGTGTCAATGCGCGTAGTGGTGCAGTGATCGTTGCAAAGTCCGAAATGAATCTCGAGACGTAGTTTGCAAGGCCTAGCAGACTACGTATCTCTGCTGGGTTTCGTGGAGCTTCAGCGTTCATAATAGCATCAATCTTCTTGGGGTCTGGAGACACCCCTTCCTTGGAGAATACATACCCAAAGAATTCTACTTTCTTCTTCTTGAACTCACACTTTGACTTATTCAGTGTAATGTTTATCTCATAGAGTCTTTCCATGACTTTTCGCAGGCTTTCATCATGGCTTTCTTGGTCTTTACCAAACACCAATATATCGTCACTGATGTTCTTTGCTCCCTCTAGCCCCTCTAGACAGTTACGAAGTGTCTCTTGGAACTTCTCAGAAGCAGATGAGATTCCGAATATGAGTCTTTTGTACCTTCTCAAACTGACGTGTGTCGTGAATGTCGTGATGTACCGTGACTCTGGGGCTGGTGGTAGCCTGCGTTCAGATCCAACTTCGTGAACACTGATGTACCATTTAAATCAATGAGGATGTCGTCGATTGTTGGTGTTATGTGTCTCTCCCTTTGCACTGCCTGGTTTGCTAGTCGCATGTCGACACAAATGCGAATCTCCTCAGGGTTCTTGAGCTTCGGGGCTACCACTATGGGTGATACCCAGGGTGTGGGACCATCGATCTTCTCTATTATGTCGAGTTTCTCTAGACGTTCTAGCTCTGCCTCTACCTTTTTCCTAAGGTGAAAAGGTATCCTCCTATGCTGCTGGACAACTGGTTGTACAACTTTATCGATGTGTATCGTTACTTGTACGCTTTTGATTTTGCCGATTCCCTCAAACCTGTCTCGGAATTCATTTGTAATGTACTCGCCAACAAATGGCGACACCACACGGATTGTGGGAATGATGCCAAGGTCCACAGCAGTAGTGTAGCTGAGCAACGAGCCAAAATGTCCCTTCACTACATAGATAGTAGTTTCTGTACTACCTTTGTGTTTTCTCCTTCTGATCTCTGTAGTAAACGTGCCTACAATGTCGATAGGTTTCGTGGAGCCATATGGGTAGATCTTCTTATTCGTTCCAATCAGCTGCGGCCTATTTCTAAGGGTCTCAAATGTTTTCTCATCTATTATATCTACTGTTGCCCCCGTGTCCACGATAATACTCATGGGGGTTTTGTTCAGAGTGTTCTCTGCTTTCGGTG